CTAGGAGGCAAGAAGAGCTCAAAGCTGCAAGGAGAGTAACCGCTGTGCTCTGCTGTTGGAACCATCTCAGTGTGGGTCTCATGGGAGGCCAGAAGGGAAGAAAAAAGTAGGAATGAAGAACAAAGGGGAGAAAACAGGAAAGAAAAGAAAGAGGAAATGGATGGGTGAGAAGAGGATGGAGGAGAGCAAAGAGTGAATAAAAGAAGAAAATGAAAGAAGCAAGAGGCAGGAAAAGTCCAATGTAAGGAGAACTGGAAAGCAAAGCAGCTTCAGGAAGATCAAGGAATCCCTCTTTTTTTTGGATGATAGAAGACTACAATTAGATTCCCCTCTAGCCTTTTCGTCTATAGGCTGACCAAACTGGGTACCCTCATTCCAGGTGCTCCAGCCTCTTATTTTTCTAATTTTTCTTCTCCCATCTAGAAATCATCACTGAATGGCAAGAAAAGAAAAGGAAATTCTGTCGCTTTTCTCTATAAAAAGTTACAGTAATCATACTGTAACATTTTCAAAGTTGAAGACTTTTGTTTCATTAAGAAGAAAAGAAGGATTAAGTAGGAAAGAAACAAAGTCCATCATTTTTATTGCATTCAAAGGTGAAAGAAAAAGAGGTAGAAGAGATCAAAACTATTCAAAGTAACAAGAGAAAATATTTTTGAAATAACAAAACTGTTACCTTTTCAATCCTGTCACTCTTTTGTTTTTCAAAATATTGATATGTATAAAAATTAATTGGCCTTTTTTTCCCAAAAATCTCGGGATCATGGTGAGATGCATAAACTCTACATACTAGGTTTAGTAGACTCATTATCCTCACTTCTATATTTACAGCACTTGCTGATGCAATGGAATAAATGACATTGTGAAGATTATTGACAGCTGGGTGGGGTCTGGCTGGCTGAGTATCAGTCTAGATAAGACTCACACAATTTTGGCATGTTTACAAATATTTTGACTGAGCATAGTCTGCATTCACTGTGAACCTCTGCCAGTTTTGTGTTAGTAGATTTAAGGCTAAGCTACTAGTCCCAGATAAATGTTGTTCCAAAGTTTGTTGCTTGATGTTGCTAGATGTTGCTAGATCACCAGGAAAAAAAGTAATATCCAATGTGAAGCCTTCAGTTTCCCCTGAACCAATACTCTGATTGCAGTCCATGCCTAGAGGATGTCTATGATGTATCTGGAAGAGCTATGAACTGCACTGGGCACTGATTTCCTCTCATTTATCACACAAAGAAAGCAAATAACTCAGGATCTCCCCTTTATACTAAGAATCTCTCTGCTATGGTGAGTTTAAAGTTTTTTTTTTCCTGGCCCATTGCCAGTTCACCTAAGAAAGTTAAAAAGAACAGCCAAAATGTGATCCGTTGTAATGAATAAATTCAGTTAAGTCTCTGAACTGATTTATATGTATTTCCCACTGCAGTATCTGACACTCACTCCAACTGACAGATGCAGGAGTTGCATCTCATATTTTTGGAAATAATTTAGGGTATCTTAGCAAAAAATGGGGATGCCTGGTATTTCTGCTAAAGTGATTTATTTTCTAGTACAGGGTGAACAGTCAACACAATACTTTTTTTTTTTTTTAAAAAAAGAAACAGGTCTTAAAACAATGGGATAATATTTTGTCAACATCGCTCACTGAACAGTCCCAGTTCCCAGTAGAGCCATACAGGTTGGCCTGCCAACTCCCACATTTCCCTGGACAGCCACACTAGGAGAAAGAGGAAAATCACACAGAATTATAATTTGAGTTGTAAAACTTCTTAATTAACAAAAATTATAACCTTTCCTTCTAGTGTCAAAAGAACATGAGGGAAAAAATATTGAAAGGACTGAAACATACTTTTCCCAGAATCCTGCATTCCTCCCCTTTCAGACATTTCCCAACTAATCTACCAGACTTGCCTTCACGCTACTGCGGTTGCTTCGGCAGATATGAGCAACACACGGAATAAGAGCAGCTCTGTACTTAGCTATAGTGTCTGGATAACATTTCTGAATAGTGAAGAAAACATTAGGCATCTTCAGAGCCTGGGGAAGGGAATTTTTTAGGGAAAATTATTGTGGAAGTTGTGGGTATTTCTTTTCCATAGGAGCTGTTGCCATATTTTTATAATCCCTATGGAAATAACTATAGAAAGAGATTATTCTGCTGCTGAGATGCACTGTGTCTGAAGAAATACGTTTTACTCTTTGAATTTTTATGTATCCCTGGGAGCCGAGCAACATCTATTGCATGATATCTTCAGATCCCGGGTCATAATCCCATCTAGAGAAGATTTTCATTTGGTAGGTTTTAGATATGTCAACAAAATGTATTTCAGCAAAAGAGAGAGAGACATCCCGAGGATATAATTTGAAATTATCCCACGAAAACTCTGTCTCCTACTCAAGGTTTCTTCTGTAAGAAAAATTGCCCTTCCAGAGTAGCAAAGCTGTTTGTCATTATCTTTGTGACTTGTAACCAGTTTAGCCTCTGACTGAGCACAATACCTTCTCATCTTATTCCATGGTCTGTTCTGTTTAACTTTCGAATATCTTCAGCCAAGATGCCTAAAGTAATTTCAGTTTTGATGGTGTCCCGAACTAATCTTAGCAGCTTGATATGCCAGGTCGTGACACATGCAGCATATTCAGGAAGTACTAGGACTTTTCACTCTTTGGGGATTTTAAGAATTCTAATATAAGAATTATAGTACAAGAATTATAATTGGTGTTTTTCCTTGTTGCTTATAAAGCACTGTTATAATTAATGCAACTCTACTTGACATTTCCCCTAGAAAAATATGCATTGTCCTGTAAAGAATTCAAGGGAAAATGGAAATTCTCTCTCTTCTCAGGTCCCACTCCCCTTTAAAGAGGAACTTAAAAGCTGAGCATTTCCTCCTGAGCTGAGCCTCCAGCCCCAAAATATTTTGTTCTTAGAGAGGAAAGGAAAAACAAAAACAAAATGCCTTTACTACTCTCCTGAATGAAATGAGCACAGCTCTCAGATTCCCTAAGCATTTGGGAAAGGACATTCTGAGCCAATATGTTAAGAACTCCACCCACATACTCCACCCTATTCAAAATAGCTGGGGAATAAAGTTTACAGGTCTCACAAGAAATGAGGTCAGGACCTAGACGCAAAGGAAATGAAAGAGTCTACAGGACTGACATTTTATGAATGCTAACAATGCCCAAGTGTTGTTTCATAGCACACAAGCATGGGGAGTGGGTCTTTGGTGGTGTTCAGTTCCAAATGCCTATAAGGAAGTGCAAACCTCAAATGATAATTATAGAGATAATGTTGAGATGGGGAACATCTTCATACCTTTAGGTAGCCACTTAGTTTATGCCTTAAAGAATGATGTTTTTGTTACGGAAAGCCACATGTTTACCTCCAGAATTAAATACTGTCTTTCCAGTTTTATTGTCAAAGTTTCAGATTTAAGCAAAATTTCTAGTCTCTCTAGGGCTTGTTTTTTGGCCTCGACAGATGCTTTGCACAAATCTCTCTATCTCTATTTTGCCCCTTTCAACCATTTATCATGTCTCAAAGCTGATTTTGTCTGAGTCTGTCTATAACTGAACAGTGAATCTACATGTTTTTGGACAATGTAGCTCTTTAAGATATTGTATGGGATAACTTGAGTTATTTTAATCATGTCCAATGACTAAAATAACCCAATTTTTTGTTTATTTTGGCAATTTATTTTGCATTTTCATGATTATTAAATCTGTTGGGGAAGTAGTTTCATGAAATGTGGAGTGAGATTTCCTCCAGGAGTCATTGCAACTCCAGTCCCTTATTTTAGAGTAAGTGTTGTGCAGCTGGTAAGCTCTGTTACTGATATTTCACACAGCTTTGTCAGGTTATTTATTTATCTGCATGTCCTCTGCTGCTCCAGAATCACCCTGATGGCAAGTCCTCTCTGGGCTGAAACACTGGCCTGAAGCCACATTTTGTCCGTTGTGACTCCAGCTCTAAGGAGGGGGGGCTCACATACCTGTCACGGTCCTGCTAGCTGAGTAGTCACGTCTTGTGCTTCAGTGCTGGGCTTTGCTGAGGTTTTAGGTATCATTTGTGCCTCCTCAGTTAAGTCCTCTTAAACTGCAGATACTACCTGGCTGGATTCCAACAGTTGTGATCAACCCCCTCATAAATATTCACTCATAAATATTCTGTTCAGATTTCCCCTTCATAGCTAAGCCATTCCTTACATATCTGATATATCTTAGCAGTGCTACTTGCCTTTCCAGATGATCTACTCTCCTGGAATATCTTGAGACATGTGACAGAGAAATAAATCTTCTTACTCGATATTTGCCCCCTATGGTCACTTAGTCATTGAATTTATAGGCAGCCGCTGTGCTGTTGCATTCAAGAATGTCTGGAAATTATTCCGGAATGGGATCGTATATGCTAGTGAACTGTTAGGACATTCCTAGACAATAATTTCTTATGTTCCTGACATTCCTTGGACAATTCTTGGATCCAAAACCTTTATTTCTTAGTAATTAAAACTGAAACACCAAAAAATAGATAATTTACAACCTTGTCAGTCTGAAGGCTTTGACAGTTTATGAACATGGACTTGGACTTTATTTCATTACATCCTTCTCCGATTTTTAGAGAATGCTTGAGGTTAACATCCTGAAAAGTAAATGCTGCTTTCAGATATGTAGAACTTTCCAGTCTCTCTTTATGCCTTGCTATTTTGTTGAAATTATTAATCTGTCTCTGGTCTTTCATACTTACAGTAATTTAACTTGCTTTTCTTGCTCAAGCTGCTATCAACTATCTGCTTACCATCCTTCACGTGTCTTTCTCCTGGAATATTTGGCCATTTAAGGGCAAATCCTGAAAATGTCTTGTCACTTCCAAGATCCAAGACTGAAAGAAGTTTTTTGGGAAAAGAAAACAAAATAAAAAAGGGAAAAGAAATGGTCCATCATTGTGCACAGAGACCTGTAACTTGTGCAGTATTGGCCTTTTCTTTTCTTTTTGTGTTTTGCAGATGGTCTAGTGACAAAAGATAGAGATGTTGTTAGTGGTTCTCTAGGTTATGTGAAAACAGTAGGAATGAGTGGAAAAAAGTAACTTTTAAAAGATGCCTGACAGACATATGCAAGGACAGAAGAGAACATTTCTGTGATGTGTACTTTGGAAAATGCTTATGACATTCCCGAGGGACATTTTTAAATATCTTACACTGTGCAATGAAGAAATGAAAGTTGCTCTTACTTTATCACCATTTGATAGCCCAAGAAGTCATCTTAAGCATAATTTTGTATCTATGAAAACAGAGAAATGCTTTTAGGCTAGATTTAGCTATTGTCCTAAAATGCACATGATTATGTAGATGTATTTAATAATAATTTATTTATAACTTTAAAGTTGTATGTTCTTTATAACAATGTATGCGAAATATGTTCATTTGTAATGCAGAATCATTAATGCTGGATCAAAACCTACAAAAAACTATTGTCACTGCACCAATAAGTGGCTAAAATACCTCCAAGCACTGTCACAGTGTCAAAACATATTCGTTGACAATGGTTGCACCTATGTTCAGACAGCTGCCGTATAGAAGCCTACATCTGAACTAATCACATTTTATTCGCTTTATAGGCAATGAAAAAGAATAGGCACGTCTGGATTTCAGTTTCCTCTCACACTTGGAGCACACAGGCCTCATCTCCAGCTGCTAAAACTCTTCAGCAAGAATGATTTTTCTCTCCATACTCTCACCCATATTCTTGCAATGGTTGTGCTGAGAATGCTTATCCTCATAAGCACCCATTTTGCATCAGAATCCTCTAGTTTTTTCACTGCTGCAAATTTAGCTATTCTCCAGAGAGAATCTGATTAGTGCCCTTCCGTGCAAGTATCCAATGAAAGTTTTTATTAGAAGACAAGCTAAGAATGAACAGTTTTTCTCAGAATCTTTGGATAAAGAACTATGTCACCAATGTCCAGAGGGACTCTGAGAGCCAAAGATCATTTTCCGGTCTTAGGAGAACTCTGTGTAAAGATCCAAATGTTAGGAGTCTTTCCAAACTTTGGTGCACAAACACTGTTGACCTGTTATAGCACACTAGCTGCAGAAAGCAGTGAGAACCACCCTGATAAACTCTAGGCTCGCTGAATAAAAATTACTCTTGAATGTCATGAGTGGCTCAAAAGAAAATTTTGAAAACTGACAAAATTCAGAAACTGGTCAGACCTAGGAATAATTTCCAAAGTATTAGAATGAGAATGGCAAGATGCAATAATTTTATTGATAGAAGCACATATTTCATTAAAATAGGCCCAATGCCTGACTGACCTACAGTCACAAAATGAGGAAATAGTGACCAAGAGCAGTGAGAGATAGGAAGTATCCTGTCATGATAGCCACAAGTACTTTCGTGTTAACAAGATCTATTTGTTTATCTATTGCTTTCTATTCTGCATGCAATATAGCATATTTAATTTCAATAAATTAGTTTTATAGTCTAGCCATCAGTTTAGGTCTCACTTTTGAAAGGATATTTCTATGTCAGATGCTATATCTAGTTAGTAACTAAGAAGGAAAGCATTCTCTAGAATAATTTCTGCCTGTTTCATTGGCCTCTGGGTTGAATATTAATGTTAAAATATTTATTCAGAACTCGTAGTTTTCAAAATGGAAAGAAAAAGAAAAAACAAATGATACCTCAAGCAAATCTATTTTCTCTTGCAGGAAATATATATATATATATATAGCAACTTTTTAGGCAAGTAAAATTGGCTGAAATGTTACTTTACAGGCATACCTTCTGCTACAGCAAAACAGCTGTGTTACTATAGACCAGGCTCTGAATTCCTTTGAGTCTGTGTGGGTGTATGTGGAATTTACATGTACAAAAGCAGAGACAATGATCTGGAGGAAGGAAAACAAAGAAGGTCTCAGTTCTCCACATATGCTAAGAGGACAACGAATGTACAGACATGTTCTAAATATGACACCTATCTTGGAGTTGCAGATTTGTCATAACAGACATGCTTAAAAGGAACTGTGGCTGATAATATCCAAGTCAACATAGTCAAGGAGAGGTGTTCCCAGAGATAACAATACCCTTCTAAAATAGAAGATGAGCTTTCAGCACATAGTGCTTGGTTCTGCTGTCTCCTTAGAGAAGCTTTCTCACAGTCGGGTGTAGACGCTCCACTCTGTGTGCTGGTAGGGGAACATTGCTCAAGAGCAGCTGAGCCCTTCTCCACAGTAGCAGAGAGGAGCCTGAGAGCAGTGGGGCAGGTAAGACAGAGAGAGAGAGACAGCTACAGGTACAGAGCCCGGCATCAGGGGTGACAGAAGAAAGAAACTTCTCTGAGGGCCCAAGAAAGGATGTGCAGAGTGTATTACAACCCAAAAAAGCACTGAATTGCAATTTTCTTTCCTACATGATTGAAGTTTCTCTATTTAAAATGTTCATTCTATTTTCAAACACATATTCAAATATAAGAGTTTTCATGACAAGTGTGATGTCTTTACAAGAGTTAGGTAGCAACAGGCAAGTCATAGCATTTTCCATTTTTGTCCTCATTCAAATATGCTATTGCACATTTTTTGTTTGCTTGGTTGACCTCTTGTTCCTCAAATAGTCTTTTTGGCTGCTTGCAAAGATCCTCACGACAGTTTCCCTTTCCTTCTTGAACATTGCAGTGAAATGTCATACCACATGCCTTAATGATGTATGCCAGATGAAAACATAGCTTTTTACTTACTTTAAAGAAAATGACAAGGATTTCAGAGACTTTTTTTAGGCTGAGGTTTTTTTCTGCAACCTCCAATCATGTGGTAGTGCATTGCTTTCAAAAGGACTCCCAGGCTCCAAGGGACTCAAGAGCGAAGAAAAAAAATGTGACAGAACCAGGAAGTTGGGCACAGAATTAATCTAGAATAATTGAGGAGTGTCTAATTAACCTAGCACACAGTGGTATCTGATCCAGATTCAAAATGCAAACTCATCGATGTACACTTGTTAAGTGTAGAATGGCAGAAAAAGTTTTGTTTCCCCTTTTCTGATAAAAGGGTAAGCTCACCTTTTTATGTCTGAATTGTGATGACTTAGAAGGGAAATCCATGGGCTGTTCTGACCAAGAAAATCTGAAGGACTTCATGACATAATGTGTACATATCATCTGAACTTGGTCATGTTCAGAATTACATCATGCTGAAGAGCTAAGGATTTTCTTTATTCATCTTAAGCCCCTTAATTACCTCTCAGGTTTATCGTAGGCACCAAAGGAGGTGTGTATCCTGTGTTTTTTTCAGCATAGGAATAAATGAATTTGGGTGAGTCTCATTAACTTATTTTATATTTATAGAAGTTCATAAATTCCTGGAATATTTTACTTTTTAAGGATGTCTCTAAGACTTCAGAATAGCCATTAAGGTAAGGAGATTGTTTAGCTACTTTCTGGCTGTTTCCTTCTTTTGTTGAATCTTTGGAAAAAAAGTCAGAGAACATTGCTTAGCTGGTGATACAAAAAGCAGATGGTGGGCTAAAATCTCCTGGTATTGTATGACAATTACTCTTTTTATAATTCTTTGTCTTCTCTCCTTCCCATCTGCAATTATTTGATAATTTGGTTGCAATTTCTAATAGTCTAGAGGCCGAGTACTGTGAGGATGGAGCTGTTCAAAAAAGAATCCAGGGCAATGCTATGTCCTGCGTTAACAGACAGCCAGAAAAGACAATCTCAGTGCACCACTGGCATTGTAATTCGTGGACCGTTTTGTGTTGCACACTCAGCACTGAACACCAAGAGATCTGATCTCCACTTGGTGTCTTTAAGTGCTACAGTGGCACCAGCTGCATAATCATCTTTAGTAACATAGCTCCAAAACAACACACAGAAAGCAGAAGTCGATTCTTTAAATTGATAGAAACTAGTTGATTAGAAAATTACATATATGCATATTTCCATGCAAGGAAAAATTATTAAAAATTACCTGTTGATACTACATATGAAGAATATTGCTGTATGTCTGTTTACTGAGACTTACTTACTGGCTTCACAGCGCTTTAATAGCATTATATCCAGGAAGTAGAAATGATACTGCTATTTCACAGCCCTGAACACAGGGCTTCTTGGAGTCTTGTACTCTTACTATAAATCACTTTCCTCCTGTTTCTTGGACTTGGTCTAAAATGAAAGACTGGTACTTCTGAGAGTCTCAGATAGCACTGAGTGCTTTAACTAATTTACAGGTTGGTCTAGCTCAGAGCCTCCGGTATGGTCAAATAGGACTGCAAAAGGAGAGAGGATGAAGCACAAGCCGATCCACTCCCTCTGGACTGTGATTCCCTCAGCAGTCCTGCTTAAAAGTCTCTTTATTTTCAAGAAGGCAAAAGAATCTTAGTTTTCTGTACCCCACCATGGATGTTTATCTCCATTACAAAAACACCAGCAGACCTCTCTCTTCTCTCTGAACCATTAGTGGTGCCTATTAAAGTGATTCTAATATTGAAGGAAAAGTGATTCTGATCATAGAATCATAGAATCATAGAATGCTTAAGGTTGGAAGGGACCTCTAGAGGTCATCTAGTCCAACCTCCTGCACACGCAGGGTCACCTAGAGCACGTGGCACAGGACTGCGTCCAAGCGGGTTTTGAAGATCTCCAGAGAAGGAGACTCCACAACCTCTCTGGGCA